ATTTTTATTTTAATTTTTTTTTGTCCTGTTAGAGGTGAATATTCTATTGGCATCTAAATACTATAGGTGTTTGAATTCAACTAAACAATCTAACACAGTCTAGCAGTCTATAATATTAGTGGGTATAACCCACATCTGAGCATAAAACCTATTTATGTTTCCTCTTTACCTTAAACATAGAGCCCAAAGGTAAGTTTATATAATATCTTCAATAATTTTGTGCACAAAATTTTTGTGATAGGGAATTTTCCACCTATGGCATCATCATGTCAGTGCTTAAAAGGCTGTGGAGTTGGGAGCATTTTAGATTTGAGAGTGTGAGATTAGGAATGCTCAACTTGTTTAGAATTATTGTCTCCTAGTTCTGAGCCCAGATGTCTGGGGTGAGGGTTTCAGCAGGGCTGGCTCCCAGTGGAGGGGCTGGGGGAGCAGGCTGCGCCTCCCCTTCTGGCTTCTGGCAGCCTTGGCATCCCTTGGCTTGGAGATGCCCCTCTGTGGTCTCTACCTCCAACTTCACATGTCCTGCTCCTTGTGGTCTTTCCCTCTTGCCTAGTGCTTGTCTTTGCACTTAGGGCCTGTGCTAACGCAGCAAGATCTTATCTCCTGGGCTGGGGAGATAGCTCAATAGAATAAGCACTTGCCTGGCAAGTGCAAGGCCCTGAGTTCAATTCCTGGTACTGGAAAAAAAAAAAAAAAAGATCTTATCTCCAGAGCCTTAATTCTATTTACAAAGGCCTTTTACCCAAATAAGGTCATACTCACAACTTCCAGGTGAACGTATTGCAGGGTCCGCCTGGAAATGCTGCTCTGTATCTTTTTTTTTTTTTTCCTGATGGGGAGTATCAGAAATCAAACTCAGGACCCCATGCTTGCCAGACAGGTGCTGTGCCACTAAGCTGTATTCTTGGCCACTGCTCTGTCTCTTGACTTTTTCTTCTTTAAGAAAATTGTACATATAGAAATGTAGCTCAGTGGTAGAACCCTTGCCTAGCATATGAGAAGCCTTGGCTCTCATCCCCTGAAATGACAAAGGAAAAAAAAAAACATTAGAAAAAAAAAAAAAAAAAATATATATATATATATATATATATATATATATGTATACTTTTTGAGGAGCAGTGTACTTTGGAAACACACAGCATTGGGGGTTTGTATTCTTTGGTCTGTGCTTTTTACTGTCTGTGTATTCTTGGGCAGGTGACCTGTGTCTTTGATTCCTTATCTAAGGAATAGACATAGTAGTGATTCTTTGTCCAGAAGAGAATTATGGGCAATTAGAGTCCACAGGAAGGAAGATGGGAGACACCTTTTATGATTCTAGCAATCAGCAGACTGGGTTTAACATTTTCTGGCATTTCCCCATCTTCTTTATATAATATCTTCAATAATTTTGTGCACGAAATTTTTGTGATAGGGAATTTTCCACCTATGGCATCATAGAGGCATCATAGAGAGGTGGAGTTTGAGTTGATGTACTCAAACTGCCAGCCCTCTGCTGCCATTTACATAGTGCTGCTGTGATATGGAGTCCTTAGGTGCTCCTGCCTGGGCTACCCAAAGAGAATTTTCTGGAAATGGCCCTGCCAGGTTGGAGGGGCCATACCTTTGTGACTTTGAGAGCCCTCCACAGAATCATACTGGTTCAAGGCCACCTCAGCAAAATTAGTGCATGTCTTAACCCCCACCCTCTGCCACCCATGTTGCCAACACCGCTGGCTTTTGTAGTGATGATCTGCATTTCTCTTGGTTTAGAGGGGGACCATCTTGCCATATTAATATGTCATCTTGTCGAACCCTTTCTGATAGCTGCTGGTTGCCACATGGAGGGTATTTTCAGACCCTCATCCCCCTTCTTAGATTGAACCCTCAGGGAGTGGGGTGGGATGGTCCTGCCTCATGGGGGTCTTTTCTTATGCTACTGGATCTTCACAGCTGACCCAGGGACAGAAGTGGCTGCCACATCTCATAGATGCCAAACAGAGCAGAGAGGACAGCCCAGCCTATCTCCCGGCATCCCTGCTGTGCCTAGGGACTGAAGGTGGGCTGCGCGGACATCTGGGTTTCCCCAGCAGCTCACTGTCATCAGAAGGATAAGCTGGATTTTGCTCCTGTCAGTCTCCTACCCAGACCCATCTCTGGGCCGCCAGCCAGCCACGTCCCCTTGGAGATAGCTCGTGACTTGAGTGACTGGCCTGATGCTGGGCATCTTCAGGCCCTCTTTTGGCACATGGCCACTGTCAGGATATTTTGGGGGTCCAGTGGAGCACATAGTCTGGTGGTGTCACCGGGTGCCTTTGTTTCTCAGGAAGTGGCATGACGTCTCCCTGAAACTTGGCACCCAAATATAATAATGAGAATGACTGTTTACCCTGGGTCTGCTGGTGCCAGGAGCTGTGCTCAGAGCTTTCCCGAACATTATCTCATTTAATTCTTAAAATGTCCCAGCTGGACAAGAAGTGCAGCTTTTGTGAGAGGAGGCCACCGGCAGATGGCTAAGTAAGCTTTCCACCCAGCTCCAGAAGCCCCAAGGAGAGGCTGCAGCTCAGTGAAGAATGCCAGGTTTCCCCTGAGGGATGACAGTAGATGCCCTAGGCCTAAGATGTCTTGTTCAGGGGCATTTCTGGTGTGGAGTGGCAGGGCTAGTTATGAGCCAGGTGGCCTGCATTTACATGAGGCTGCTCACCCCATTTACTGAACCTCACTTCCTGTGCTGGATTGCCAACTGGTGGCAACTTGTTACACCCAGATGATCTGAACTGGCACAGTGCTAGGTGTGGGAGGCCCACCTAAGGACTGTTACCAGCAGCATAAGAGTCAAAACCGGAGAAGCTGTTGAGAGTCTGTGAGGGATGCTGTTGGGGACCTCTTGGAGCTGTTGGTTCTCTAGGGCTGTTCTGCCGGTGGAACCTTGTCCTGCTGGCTTTCCTGATGAACTTGGCTGTTCTTGTCTAAGGACAAGCTCAGGACCTTGTTATTGCTGAGAATGTCTACAGTTCACTTTGGGGGAGCTCTAGCACTCGAACTTCACTTCCTGGCCCCAAGGGCAAGATGGTGCACTGCTCAGCCTCCTGGACAAGCTTGTTGAGTTAGCTTTCCTGATGGGAACCCAGCTTTTTTCCTCATCAGAGGAGGAGCTTGGGGCCTCACTGTTGCTGAGGATGGCTGTGGTAATTTTGGGGGTAGCTCGGGTTCTTACCTTGAACATTGCTTCCTGCCTCCAATTCAGATCCCTCAGCCTGCTAGCACCGATCCTTCATCCCACTGGCATGGACTTTGTCGCTTTCACCACTGACCTTTGGGTCTTCCAAGTGCAGATCTGTAATATGGCCTGCGTGAGAAGTGTTGTGGGCTCTAGACCTCCAGGTGGACTCATGAGAGGCATTATTATGGGCTCTAGGCTTTCAGCTGGATGCATGCAGGATATTAGAATCCAGGCCCTCAGCTGGATTCTTTGGTCCTTAGTATATGGACAGATTTCTTGCACTCTTTGTATATGATTCTTCGGGTGATTCAGAATAAAAATCTTATAGAATATGTCTTGTGTTATATTGTTTCCCCTGCAAAACTCTGAAACTATGACACTTCTCTACTCTGAGAAATGGGGATAAATCTCCCTTCTTTTAGACTGTGACTGTGCTGGACATGTACCAGGCCAGGCACTAGGACTATCTGGGAATTCTAAAAGGCAGAGGGTTCCCTAGTCCCATCCACTTTATA